GATGGGGGTGGGGGTGGAGAATAAGCCCTAAAAGCTTCCTGAAATCTCCCCATCGTCTGTTCTGGGTTTTGTTGTGATAAGGGAAGAGAAGGCTGAGAGGTGCCATCCGAGCCCTGAAGAGAGCATGTGAGATCCATAACTCAACCCAATTCGATGGTTTACTCAACACGGACACGAGTTACAGCACCCTGCGCACAAGCGAGACACCAGCGTCCTAGAGAGAGGCAACCGGTTTCCTTCTGGGCTCTGACGGGAAGGATGAGCCAGAAGAACCCCCTGGCCGGGCCGCAGTGCTGTCCCCTAAGCACATCGGGGGTCTGGGGTTGGAATGCCAGAGTGCAAATCCCTCCTCTGCCCCTTCTTCCTGTGTGACCTTGGGCAACTTAGCCTCTCTGTGCCTTAGCTGCTTCACCTGTGAAATGGGGATAATAATAGTATCTGTTTCCCTAGGGCGTCACGAGGACTTAGTGACAATACAGGTCATGCACCCTGCCTGGCCCAGAGTGAGTGCTCAGTGAGTTTCGCCTCCCACTACTGTGCCAACAACGTCCAAAGGCCTGGACTTTAGAGAAACACACGCTTATCCCACAGTTTCTGCACTGAAATGAGCTGCCTTGCATCACACGTATCTGAGGCCACGCGCTGGCTACGGGACAGCCTGGGCTTGTGGTCCAGGACTCTGCTCCCAACTGGCCCGGCCCTTCATGGTACTCACAGCTTGGGAAGCACAGGTGGAAGAGTGGCTCCCATGTAATGGCTGTGTGACTTGGGAAGTTCCACAGCCTCCCTGAGCCTCGGTCTCCTTCTCTGGAAGATGGGGATTGGCTGCGAAGACGAAATGGAAGTGCGCAGTACGCGGAGGCAGTGTTGCCCAGTGGGCGGTCAGCACAGGCTGCTCAGGGCGGAAACTGCCCTCCACTCGGCAGCTGGGACGCTGTGGGCAAGTCATGTAACCTCCCTGCACTTCTCTTTCCTTCGCTGTGAAATGGAGATGATAATCTCCTCTAGCGTGTGCTACGGTGAGGCCTAAAGGAAAGGATATGCGTAAAGCTCTTAGAGCAGGGCATGGCACACGGAGCTCTGTGACGTCCTGCTATGGACTGGACTGCCCCCCATCCCCCAATTCTATGCTGCAGCTCTAACCGCCAGTGTGACTGTATTCGGAGAATGGGCTTTTAGGACGTAACCAAGGTTAAATGCGATCCTAAGAGTGGGGTCCTAATGCAACAGTGGCCTTAGAAGAAGAGGAAGATTCTCTGTCTCTCCCCCACCATGTGTATGCATCAAAAAAAAAAAAAAAAAAAAAAAAAGGCCAAGTGAAGACACAGCGAGACAGCAGCCACCTCCCAGTCAGGAAGGGAGCCCTCACCAGAACCAGCGCCCTGATCTTACACTTCCAGCCTCCAGAACTGTGGGGAAATAAATTTCTGTTGTTTAAGCTGCTTAGTCTATGACATTCCGTTCTGACAGCCTGAGCTGACTAAGACAGAGCTCTGTATGAATTCCCTATTTTTTGCTTAGTGCCTGGCATATGGCAAGTCCCCAGCCGATGTCAGCTGCTATAATAAATACGGCCGTGAAGGCCAGCATCCCAGTGAGTGCAGTGCGATTTTCTTATCCTTCAGAGGCAAGAGAGAAAAGTCCTGTAGCTGGGCCAGGGTGTGGCCTCAGTGGCCTTGCAGGACCACCCAGACTGTAAGCCAACCACAAACAAGCAACCTGCACGAGGGCCTCCCCCAGGGTCTCTGGGTGACTGTTTCAGGGCAGTGTCAGGACTGCAGATCATGGGTTCTTCCTCCTCTTCCCCCAGCCAACAGCCAGCCCTGGGGGCCTAACTACCAGCCTCTGCAGTCCAAAGTGGAAAGACACAGCTGTATTTGGCGTCCACATGTAAATCCACCATCAGACCAGGTGGGCACAGGAGCAGGCTACGCCCAGGCATTCCAGCCATCCCTCACCCGGGTGGGCAGAGCGGAGGGCAGCAGGCTGTGGCCTCCCATCTACTGGCTGTGTGGTAAGGGAGGGGCCGATGGACGAAGCACATCACGTCACTATCCTTGCCCCGCAAGCCCGGAAGCGCCCAGAGGGCAGGACCATGGCTGTCCTGTTCCCACTTGGATCCTCAAAGCCCAGGACAGAGCCTGGTACCCAGGTATCCACTGACCGAGAGAATCATCTTGTCCGCAAAGTGCCTGAAGCCCACCACGTAACAGGTGCTTAGTTCATGTTCATTCTCTCTCTGTGACCCTTGGAATGACTGACTGTTCCAGGCCCCCAGGGATTCTGGCGCCTGCAACCTTTCTGGAACACTGCTTGAGTTACAGCACACTGTGAGCCGCATTAACACCTACTGAGCATCTCATGTGTGTCAGACAGCGTGCAGAGACCTTGGCTAAATGACCTCATTTACTGCTCACATCAACCCCGGGAGGTAAGTTCCCCACCCCAACACCCCCATTTGTGGATGAGGAGCAGAGGCTTAGGGAGGTGACACAGCCTGCCCAGAGCCGCAAAGCTGACGAGTGCTGGGGCTGAGACTCGAATCTAGGACTCCTGGACTCCCAGCCTGGAAGCAGAGCAGAGCTAAGTCGGTCTGGCTAGACCATTCCCTGACACACAGCTAGGCTGGCTTCAAGCTGACCAGTGGGACGGCTTCTCCCCTCTTCCCACAGCCCCGCCTGGTGTTATGCCTCCCTTGGGCCCTGTGATTCCTTCTAGGGGCTCAACCTGGGAGAACGCTAGCTCCATCCACCCTCATGAAGCACCCTCAGAGCTGCCCTCCAGCCCCAGGCCACTGTGAAACCCCAACAGAGGTGGGTGGGGGGTGGCGGTGTTGTGGAAGGGCCCAGAGCACGATACGTAGGATTTCTCTCGGGTGCAGAGTCTCACCGACTTGCTCCAATGTCCTGCAAACCTGTGCTCACACCAGGCCACCGTACATGTCCAAACGAGCAGCAGCCATGCAACTCTGCACAACTTCCTTCATATGGGAGGGGAGGAAGCAGAGGAAGTAACTTGTGGTTTCCAAGGGCAACACCTGGAAACACATCCGCAGGGACACAAAGGGAATGTTCTACTGGGATGCAGGAAGCCCCGGCCTGTTCCCGAGGGCAAAGGAAGACATACTCAGAGGAAGCTTGCTGATGGGCCCAGCCCAGGGGGATGTCCTCAGCCTCTAGATGGAGGAGGAAAGTGACCTCCTAGGCAAGTGGTCCTAGGAAGGGCAGAATTCCCTGGAGAAGGACTTGGGGGTGCAGACTCCCTGGGAGTAGGGAAGGCCAGGGAGCCATCTGGGCCCAGCCCTTGCAAAACAGCTGCATTCTAAGCCCCCCACCCTGGGAGGTGACCTTCCCAGAGACCCCACAGTCATTCTCTGAGGAAGGACTTCTGCCCGCCTGGACACAAGTGCTCCCACAGAGCTGGGGCAGGACAGCCTCTGTCCCTCCAGAGCCACCTCCCAGATCCCAGTATAAGGACGAGGCAAAAGGGTACTTGGTTCTGGGGTCCCCCCAACCCAATCCTGCCAAACTCAAGCCTTGAAGGAAACGGAGATATGAGTCGTCCTTATATACTGACCTTGCATTTTGGCAAGAGCCCCTGGGTAGCTGCAATGAGCATGTCGCTGCATGGGGACTCTCTAACCCAGAGACTCGAAGGAAGCCCGTGATCCCACTGGGAGTCTGTACTGTCACCGCGAAGCATGGAGGCAGAGCACCCCAGCCCGGCAGGCCCATGTCCTCTGCCTGGACACAGGTGCTCCCACCGAGTGGGGGTAGGGGGCAGGACAGCCTCTCCCTCCAGAGCCACCTCCCAGATCAGGCACTCAGTGAGCGCAGTCTTAAATACAGAATTCTTTTCAGGAAAACATCACGTTCTGGAATTCTGCTGCCTTTCAGGACAGTGGATGCTGGGAGAAAAGCCTCCAAGAATGGGACCAAACATATCAGGCCTTCATTTCCTACCCAGAACTGCAGAGGACCTCACGGAAGGTTTGGTTAAAGACAGAGGCAGACTTGGTGGGGCCTGGGATCCTCCCGCACGTGAACACCTGAATTTGTTCATTCGACAGAGACCTACTAAGCACGTGCTCTGTGCCAGGCCTGGGCACTGGGGACGCAGCAGTAATGCAACAGACAAAGGTGCCAGCCCTTGGGGAGCTGACATTTTGTGTGACATCTGACACACAAGATAAGAAAAATATAAAATATTTTAGATGAGGTGGCCAGGGAAGTCCACACTGATGACATTTAAGCAGAGACCCACGAGAGGCAAAGGCACCAGCCATGTGGATAACTGGGGTGGCGCATTCCAGCAAAGCTCAAGCGCAGAGGCCCTGAGACAGGAGTGCGCCTAGCATGCTCTAGAAATGACGGTGACGAGGCCATTGTGGCTGGAGCAGGGGGCAGGAGAGGGAGAAGAACAGCAAGGAGCCAGCAGTTGGGTGACACTGGGCCTCGCAGGTCAGGCCCAAGTGAGACAGGACACTGGAGGCCTCACAGCAAAATCCCAGTCTGATCTGACTTGTTTATGGGTAGAAGGTATCTTCAAATATATAAAGCGTAACTGTCTAAGAGTTATTCGTGGCCTTAGAACACCCTGTCCCAGCAAATAAGCCATGTGTGGGCAAAGTGGCCTTCCCATGCGGCAAGGGTTGAAAGGATCTGAGGAAGTCCATAAAAATAATGTTGGTTGCTTTTTCTTACTGTGAAGACCAGCTGCCCTGAACGTTTAAGTGCAGTTACTAGGGGTCACTGGTGCTGCCCAAGCCACCAGCTGGCCTGTTCTGGGGCCCAACGCTCCCACCATGTCCCACCGCACCTCTGGCCCACGGTTCGGCGCTAATGACGGATTCTCTGAGCACCTCCTAATAAGCATTCTGGTGACCTGACGCCGACCCTGTGTACCAGCCCCACATGGCCCTCTGGGTCCAGGCCTCCATCCTGAAGACCTGGGCTTGGTCTCAGTGGAGCCCCCAGAGCCCGGCACCCCACGGAACTCACCGGGCACGGAGAAGGGGGACAGGAAGGCAGCCTCCACCGGCTCTGGCTCCGGGGGTGGCGGCTGTGGCGGCAGCTGCTGCTCCTGATCCTGTGGCGGGTCCTCCACGGGCACGTTCCCGTTCTCGATGTTCTCGTGCCTGCCGTTCTGCAGCGGCTTGCTGCTCACTCCATTGGCCGAGTTGATCAGTCGCTGCCGCTGGGTGGACAGGAGGCAAGTCAGACACCAAGGCCTGTGACAAATGTCACGCAACTGCCTCGTTCCTTACACTCTGCTCCTACAGGTTCCTAGGACACCACCCTTGGAGACAGGTTTGCCTGACAATCAGCCCAAAGACCCTGAAATCCATCTAAATTTGTTCGTTTCTATTTGGATGGTTATCAGGAGGCCTTGGAGGATTTATTGGAGGGCCCAGGCCTCCCCTTCTTGGTGCCAAATCAACAACCCAGCCCACGATGCCAACGATGCCATAATTCCACATTCACCATGGTGGATGTTCACAGCCACCTGAGGACTGTCACAGGGAACGCCCTGCATGGGTTTCGTAATTTTTAATTTCCTTTAGGTGTATCATACCTGACTGCACTTACCTCAAGTACATGGTTCAATGATGTTTTATATCAAGACAGACTCGTAGGACATTTCCAGGCCCTTAGAAGACTTCCTCAGGCCCCCTCCTAGCGTATGTGCCCTACTTCAGAGATAACCAAGGTAACCGCTATGCTGACTTTCATGATCATCAGTTAGTTTTTCCTAAACTTCAACTTCCTATAAATGGATTCAGATATCACGTGCTATTTTATGTCTGACTTCTTTCGTGCACCTCAACACCCATGAGATTCACCCATGTTGTTGCACAGGTCAGTAGTGTGATATGTGTCACGGCTGTGTAGCATTCCATTGTACAGGTAACCCACACTATAGCCTTTACTTGATGAGTGTTTGAATTGTTTCCTCTTTTTGGTAACAACGCAGAATGCGGCTATGAACACTTGTGTGCATGTCTTTTTGTGGACATAGTTACTCGCTCCTCTTGGGTATTTACCTGGGAGTGGGACTGATGGGTCATAAAGTAGGTGCGTACTGAACATTTTACACTCACACCAGCACTGGGTTAGAATTTCAGATGCTTCCCAACCTCATGGATGCTCGGTATCATCAGTCCTTCTAATTTTAGCCATTCTGGTGGGTGTGTGCTGGTACCTAATTGTGGTTTTAGTTTTCATTTCCCCAGTGACTAATGACATTGAACATCTTATTGAGTGGCTGGCCATTTGGATAGCCTTTTCAGGTCGTTCAACACGTCTAACGAGCATGTTCTCAAAGGCAAATGTCTGTGACCAAATCCACCCCCTGCCCTCCCCCGTCTCGTTGTGGCTACTGACAAAGGCTGTCTCCGTTCTACCCAAGCCCAGGTGCACCTTCCTCACCAGGCCCGTGGGTTTCTCCAGAAACAGCACAGACAGAGCCCACATTTCATGAAATCAACAGGTTTCCACTTTCCCAAGAACCTACTTGCCTTTGCACAGCTCACCTTTATCTGGTTCTCAGCAAAAATATTTACGAATCAGCTTTAGGCTTTGTGGACAATGACTGTCACACAAGGGACACATACATCCCCCTGCCAATTACTTCAGCAGGAGGCCAGGGGACAGGAAACATGTCCCCAAGCCAATACTCTATAACTGTGTGCCCAATACCTATCCTTGTGGTTATGGGATGAGGAGCCACTATCACTGAAATGGAAGCATGTTCTTTCTCTAGAATAATAAACTGACCATTTAACTGCCTTCATGTTGGTTTTTAGTAGGGACTTCTAAATCATGAAGTCTAGGGTGGGGTGAGAGTTCTTAATATTTTTCCTAAAAGGAGTCCACAACACTTAGTCCACCAAAAAGAGCAAAGTGACCTATGCCTGAGACTCAGGCCCAGACATGGAGGCATATTTTGATACCCAAGGTTAAATGACAGGTCATCCTTGGAGTTAAAAAAAAAACACAAAACTAGCTGTGCAAGGACAGAATTGCAGTGGAGGTGGATATGACTTAGCAGTGACACGAATGGTGGGGACTGGGTGGGGATGGCTCCTAACTCCAGCTTACTAGGAACCCAGCCTCTCATGCTGCCTTTAGGGCAGGCCAATCCCGACACGGTAGAAGACAAAGTTTTCCCAGGAGCTTAAAACGTCTGGGGCATGACAACCAACATTTTACTAACTTACCAAAATCTGTTCTTTTCCTGGCTGCACATGTGATGAAAAATGTACGCTAAGCCCAAGTCCCCAAATCCTTCAGAGTGGTTCAACCCCCGACGCCCAGTGGGTACGATTATCAAACTCATGAAAAATGGCCAGGATTCAGTAAAATTTCACTGATTCAAATTTTACTGGACTAAAATGATTTCTAATGATTCAAAGCTTGGAAATGCGTTTCCCTTTTTTAGTACACTTTTCCCAGAGAAGGCCCACTGTGCATGAAATCAAAGCAGAAATCTTCAAAATATAGAACTTTTAACCACTGGGCAATACCGTTCTTACACGGTACTGTGTGCTAACTACTAATTATTAGCAAAGTTTAAAGGCTGCTGGCCACTGTCTGCTTCTGAGGATAAGGACTTAAAATTCCTTAAAATTCCAGTATGCACAAATGCAGCAAAGACTGGAAAAGCTGGTGAGCAATAAGCCTGCTATCTTTGCTATCCCTGTTTACACATTAAATAATATTAAAACTTATTTTTTCAAGTGAGAAACAGACACACAACATAAAACGTAAACACAGCAAGTGTGAAAAGGAAGTTCCCAGAGGTCATCATCAGCGTCTCGAGCTTCCTTCTAGCTTGTTCTGTCCACAGAGAACAGGTGTATGTGTTCATCGTTTTTCTTTTTTGCCCTAAATAACATTTTAAAGAAACAATCCATCCTTCAAACTGGCCTTTCTCCAATTAGTTCTACGCTCGTGCCTAGAATACTTAGCGAAACATCTCAGGAACTGTGTGCGATGGCTGCCTGCTTTAAAAACCCCTCCTGAAAGGAAAATTTGCTGCCCGTGGGTGACGTTCGGCCTTCTGGAGGCACCAGAGACTCCTTCCTTGAGCAGGTGCAGCGGTAAGCGACCCTGGGAGGGACCCTAACACGCCAGGGCCAGAACCCACCTGGGGCTGCTCAACTCTCACTGCCCTTCAAGCGACCTTACCTCGTTAATTATGATCCTGCTGGCCATCCGCAGTCGGGTCCGGGGCCCAAACTTGTTGGTGATCATCACGCGCAAGCCTGCTTCCGGGAAGTTGAACTTGGGAGGGCTGGAGCTCATGAGCTCATCCACCATCACCACGGGGCTTTTGCCATATTGCGGCATCTCCTTCACTATTGAGCACAAACCACTATTAGCGCCGATCTCTCTGAAAGCAGCTCCCAAGTGCAGGGGGACGGGGCACTGACTTCCCCTTGCCTTGGGAACTCCCCCAGGCTGCGGCCCTGGCAGCGGGCAGCCACCTGGAAGTCTGGGTGCCTGGTTTCAGCTCCTCCCGCCAGTCAAAGTGGGCCACTGGCTCTGAAACGCTGGCCGACACGGTGCGTTAGAGCCCAGTGGGTCCCCTGCTACAGGGCCACCCACGGGCAGACACTCACATCCATGCCCTTCTCCCACTCCTCTGGGGCCCTGTCTTGGCTAATGTCAAGGGTCTTGCAGCTCTTCCTCTAAGCCTCACCAGGGCAGCCCACCTACGATAGGGACAGGAGCCCTGCCCCTTCTCTCATGGAGACTGTGAGGGGACCTTTCTTTCCCTCTGTTTACAGAGGCTCAGATGAAGCTTCACAAATCAGAAAGGGAACCCCAGAGTGGAAAATGCTGGAAAGCAGCAGATAGCACTGACTCCAGACTTCCCACAAGGCCATGTGCTCAGTCTTCGAGTGATGATCTCAACCCTGCAATGGAGGATGCTTCTAACTTCATTCTCCAAAAGGCAGGCAGTGGGGTCAAAGATTCGGATCACAGGCCCTAGACAGGCAACGGAGACCTCGGAGAGGGGCCTGCATGTCTGAGGGTGCGCTGTGAGCTGCCGGCTGAGCCCAGCGACTTGGACAAACCCTGACACTCTCCAGGAGGGAGGCGGTTCTCTCTGACCCTTTCCTTCCCCTCGGGAGGCTGAATAAAGCACCCCAGTCCCTGGGCCTCTTCCTTGCCACCTTCACAAATGTGTGCAGAGCCGGTACCCTGAGGGGCTTGACATCTGACTCACGTCCCTGGAAGGGTCTGGTTACCAAACCGCTCATGCACACAGCATGCAGAAACAGGGAGTTTCCCCTCCAAAGAGCTGTAAAACAGAAATGCCTGTCCCTCTGCATTGGTTACCAGTTCCCGGAGAGCGCAACGGGGTAACCAGGGAACAGGTCCAGAAAGCAAACCCGTGCGACAGTTAACTGCACAAAAATGCACAAATGCACACCAAACACACGCACTCCTCACCAAACAGCAGCAAGGCGGCTCAGCAGACAGGAGGCTTATGGGTTAGAAAACAAAGCCAGGATAACATGCATCTGTCGGAGACGGACGCTAACCTCCAAAGAGGCGTGCGTTGTTGGCTAGGCTCGTGGTTGATTTTTTTTTTTTTTTAATGCATGTGTTATGCTTGCATAAAAGCTGACTACTTACAATTTAGAAGAGGAGGAGAGTTAAGGAGACAGAGGCCAACAGAGTTTGTCAGAGATGATTAGCGTGCGGTGGGTGCCGAGGGTCTGGGGCAGCATTCTTGATGGTGGCGAAGGTGCCAGGGGTTACGTGGAGGAGGGTGTTAGTAGCAGACTCCTTCTACAGGGAGCCTCATTGCTTGGGGCCTCAGGCCATTGGGATGGCTCTGCTTCTACCCTGAGGAGCAGGAGCACCCCTGTCCCCGTGCCACGGCCCCACCCTGCTGCAGGGAAGCTCGAATCCCTCCCTCAGGATCCCCCGTCTCAGAGGCAATGATACCAGCAAAACCTGAAGGCTCCAGCTCCATCCTACAGAGCCAGGCCCTGCCTGGGGGACAACTAGGCTCAGAGGAGGGAGCCTAGAGGCGTGTGAGACAGGAGCTGGGATACCTGGCTCCTGGGGCACCTCATCCTGGTGTCACCCACCAAGTGACGAGGTGATGTGTCTGAGCCCAGGCTGGCTGTCTGGAAGGGAACGTGATGATAGCGTGGCTTTCTGGCTGTTCAGCCCAAGGCCAGGCATTGCCCCCCAACCTTCCCACGCCAAGCCAAAGCTGTGCGCAGGGCCAGGGCTGCCTGGAAGGGTCCAGAGTGAGCATTTGGAGCTAGACTGGCTTGGTTCGGGGTGGCGGCTGGTGGTCAGGTGGCCCTGGCTGTCAGGATGTGTGCGAGGTCTCCTGAAAACCAGCCGGGAGGTTGACTGGGTGAGCTGAGCTGCACGGCCTTTAAGAACATTTAAGAACATAAAGGCATTTTATAAGAGTGGTGGGGAAAATGCTCCACCCCTCCCTTCTCCAGTCAAGAGGTTGAGTGATAAAAGTTTTGATTTTATACGGGAAACACCAAAACCGACGACAGCAAAGTTGGGGCTGAGAGACTGAGAGAGAGTGTATGTTCTTGAGTCTCCCAGCCAGCAACCCTTGCGTCTCTTTCAGCGGGGCGGTTACACAGTGGCCTGCCTGGAGCTGAGGGCGGAGAGAGAATGTCCAGCGAGTCCATGGCAACACCCTTAGGAAAGGCAGAGTCCCAAAGCCCTGGTTTCCCCAGTCCCACATGGGGTGCTACTGGGTGCCCCTTCCTCCTTCTTTGGTCAAATCTATTTAGGGGACAGTGACACACGCATGGCCCTCTGGGAACCTCTTATGGGGCAGTAAAATCTAGGGCGAAAAACCCAAAGACTACGTCCCCGGGCCTACCCACCTTGCAGCTCTGGAGTCCAGCCTGTACCCTCTCTTCTTTCTGCACCCCCTTGGGACTGCCTTCTCCTCGGCCTTTAGCTAAATGTATTTACTCTGGTCAAAGTTGTAGAGTAACTGTCCCAGGTGCTGGGGGGAAGCCTTGGGTCCAATCATTCAGTTTTCTAGAACCATCCTGAACTTAAAGAGGTTTGGGGGAAGATAACAAACCGTGGGGAAGACCTGCTGTCTCGGGTATGAAAGCAGTGGAGACAGAGTCGGACACAGGCCGGAAAAGGCGCCAGGTGGGCAGCAGCCTTGGGGACCCTGGATTTCCCTGGCGAGGGTGAGGCCTCCGTGTTGAAATAAAGGGTGCTTCCCACGGGGCCCGGGGAGGGGTCTCCCCGGTCGGTCAGTCCCACCACAGGTGTCAGGTGGCTCCGGGGTGGGTGCCTGAGGAAGCAGGTACTTTCCGTTGGCCTGAGCGACTTGCCACGCAGTGTTCCTCTTCTTTGCCATGAAGGCCCAGGGAACTGGCAGCACTGGGTATGTGACTGGGCAGGAACAGCCTCTGTCCTGTGTCTGGGGACCTGTGACAGTCCCCTTGGAGCCACTGCGTCTGGGGAGCTAAAGTCCAAAGCAGCGGCCAGCGTTGCTCCCGCCCTCTCTGAGGAAGTTGTCCTGGAGACGGGCTCCCCCGGGGTCATGTGCTCAGCATTCGTGAGACAGGGCACAGAACCCAACGCCAGGCTCTGCCCCTCAGGGGTGGGCGTCCGCAGCCAGGCTGTGGCCTGACCCCCACCCACCCCACCCTGCAGGTGGCCTCCTTCCGTATGGGGAGAGTCATCCCTCAGTAGGACACCTGCAACAGGTGCCACCCTCTCAGGGGTTACCTGAGACAGGACAGAACCCCTGTCCAAAATGCACGTGGGAGGAAACCCCACCCCGATCCAGCCCAGGAAGAAGACTGGAAAGAAGGCTAAAGAGTATAGATCCGGCCCCCAGATGTCCCAGACTCAGGCAAGCAAGTCCCTTCTGGGACCACCTGGTCCCACCGCGGACAACACCAAGGAGTTGACCTGACAGAGGATGGGATTTGCCCCTGGCCTAAGGGACTAAGGGAGAAAGACCCCCAGGCGGCCAGCGCCAGGCTCTCTCAGCTGGTGAAGGCCTCTAACGATACTGCGGGTGGACCCCACGCCTGCTGTTCAACATCCTAATGCAAGAGCCTCCTGGGCCCTGGCTGGTCTGGCGAAGGGCGAGCTCTCTCCTTCCCGGCAGCCCACCAGGGAATCACCTGCCCACTGGCTGGATTATGACGGTTTCCATGGAAGCCAGTCAGGCCTGGACGGTGTGGGGAATTTGACAAGAGATGACAGAAGCTGGCTCCGGAGGCCTAGAAGCCCCAGTTTTCAGACAAGGGCCCAAAAACCCCAAGGGAAGGGGCTCCGGGCAGGGCGCTGTGGGGTGGCGTGGGGCTGCCTGCTCAGCCTCGGGCTGCCCTTCCTGCCCTTGTTGTCCCTGCGCAACCGTTCCCAGCCCGAGAGCCGGTGGCCTCTCCAGAACAGGGTTCTCCCAGACGGGGCCCGGCATTCAAGAAACCACAGGGAGGCGCAGGCCGGCTCCGCCAGCCCAGGCCTCAGCCTCCTGCCTTGGGCCCCCCGTGAGTCAGAGGCGCCGCTGTGTTTCCGAACAGCCACACGGGCCTTGAGACGGCCGCGGGGGGCTTGGGGAAACTGCCGGGGACGCAACTACTGAGTTTTTCTTTTCTGGTGTATCTTGCCCTCCATCCTGCCTTTTAAGCAACATCTTCAGCACCGACTCTCCCTCCTCCTTTAGGGCGCCGTGACCAAAGGTCGGAGAGTGACAGTCTGCATGTGTGCAGGAAAGAGAAGGGGATAGTGGCCTCCGTGATGGCCCTCTGCCATCCTGTCTGCTCAGCCTTACCTTGCCTCAGCAACGGCACGGAGGGGTCGTCATAGCTACCGTCACAGAAGTCATTACCCGGCTCCAGCTCGCTGCTGACCGGGTTGCCGTTGGCGATGCCCTTCTGTTTGACTGTGAAAAAGGCCTGCATCTTCACATTGTACCTGCAAGGCAGGGAGGCAGAGGGTCAGGGTGGTGGAGGGGAGTCCCGGCGACCAGCTGCGTGCGGGGTCTGCTGGGCCACACCCCGCCCCGGGCACCCAGTCAGCGGGGCATGGCCCCAGAGTGTCGGGCCCCCACGGCAGCGTGAAGCCTTGGTCGTTGGACTGCGCTACAGGCTTGCTGACGTGAGCCCCGGAACACAGGTAGTCTGGGGCGCCTGCTCCTGCTTAGCTGGTGGGGGGCTTCCTGGGGGCCTCGGAGACCTTTTGCCCAAGAAAATGACTGACGCCCACTAACTGCCTGGTACAAGCCTGCGCTGATAACGGAAGCTCTGCCTGGCCTCGGGGACAGGCTGGAAGGAGACGCTGCCAGTTTGTCCTCTCTCCCTCAGCAGAGCCCGCTCACGGGGGCTGTCTGGCGTCCCCCCTCACAGCCGGCACTGCCTGCTCCCGAGAGACGAGAGTCTCTCTCCATCCCGGAGCACCTCAGGCCAGCTCCTCGCTGAAACGCACTCAGAGAAGAGATCGTTTAAGGACGCTCCTCTTGCAGGCAGACAGTTTAGCACCCATTTTTATAAAACATTATGAATGTTTTATAATGGTCACCCCACGGTCACCCAAGACTCTGGTCGGGAACCAGAAAAGCTATGGGTGCAGGTACAAAGGGGCCCACGTCCTAGGGGATGCTAAGAATGGACTGAATACAGTGGGGGGCATGGGGGCAGGAGCTTCTTGGGCCACACACTGGCATGGTGGGGTCAGGGATCATTCTGGGATGTGCCATTACTGCTCTCTTGTGGGTGCAGCCCAACCCCAAGAGCAGTGGGGACCTTTCACCTCTGACCACACCCTGCAAGGAGCCACACAAGCTTTACTTTGTTCAGTTACGTGCCGAATAAAACATTACGAATGTTTTATGTAAATGTGGGGATTTCTATTTTGATAAAACCCAGAGTGCTGTCTTTGTTTTTAATTACCTATGGAGGTCTGAGGAGGAAGATAAACCTGAACATGGCTCGGCTCACGGGTGGTTATTTTTTGGTTTTGGTGTGGAAAAACATATATATCTCATGAAATTTCACATTCTAACTACCCTCCTCTCATTTTTAAGTGCACAATTCAGTGGCATTAATTATATTCACGTTATTGCGCAACCATTACCTCGACGTCCAAAATGTGTTCGTCCCAAACAGCAACCTGCACCCGTGAATTGATAACTCCCCATTACTCACATCCCCTGCGCTAACCTACAGTCTATGTTCCGGCTCTATGAACTTGACCCTTCTAGATCTTTTAATGCTCGTGGACTCACACACCATTTGTCCTTTCGTGACTGGCTTCTTTCACTCATAATGGTTTCAAGGTTTGCCCAGGCTGTGGCCTGTCAGAACTTCATTCCTCTTTCTGGCTTAATAACATTCCTCACAGGTAGTTTTGAGAAGGGTCTCACCTGGGCAGCTCCTGGAGGGGCTCGAGGTTGCACAACCCAGGACAGCGTTGGCATCCCCAGTACTACAAGTGGTGCCCCCTGCAGTTGTGCAAAGCAGTGGCCCTGAGAAGTGGCATTTTATAAAGCCTGGAGCAGAATTTAACCTGTCTGGCTTTTTGAAAAGAGTGGTATTAAATTATTAGGAGACGTACAGAGACAGAAAAACAGAGAGGTCACCTCTGGGGCGTGGAGAAGCTGCCCAGAGCCGGGCGGGACGGAGGTGCTCGCTACTCGTTAGGGGCACAGCCTCGCTCCTCGCACACCAGCCACCCAGCACGACTCCCCTGGCTTAGGTGTGAAACAGCACCCCCAAAACAGTGTCAGAACACCTCTCCCCCACCCTGGCAACCCCCAACAGGGTGGCCACTGGAGAACTGGGGCTGGCCCAAAGGGACAAAGATCTGGCAGAGGTTCTCGCCCCTGCTCTGACAAAAGGCGGGAGCAGACTGCGGAACGTGGCGTCCAGCAGCCCAGAGGGGAAGGGAAAGGGCACTTACTTCATGATCAGGATATAAAACACGTACAAGACAATGAGCACCAGGCCTTCCCACCTCAAAGAGAAAAAGGAGACAGTGGTTAGAACACGGGGCCATGGCACATGGAGGCTGGGACCAAGCAAGGCCCAGTCCAGGACCCGGGTGTGCGGGAGACTCGCCCAGCCTGCAGCTGTCTCGCGGTCAGAAGCCCCTTGGTGACAGAGCGAGAGAAGGCTGAGGGGGTTCTTCTTAACTATAGGGGTCTTCAGGACTCGGGTGGGGTTCCCCCCACTACCTGGGAAAAGGAGGGGCCAGGGCCACCACATCTCAGCATTCAGGGAGGGTAGTGGCCTGCAGCCACGCAGAATGGACCCTAATAGACCCCACGGTCACCCAAGACTCTGGTCAGGAACCAGAAAAGCTGTGGGTGCAGGCACAAAGGGGCCCACGTCCTAGGGGATGCTAAGAATGGACTGAATACAGTGGGGGGCATGGGGGCAGGAGCCTCTTGGGCCACACACTGGCATGGT